TTAGAACTGGAGAACTGCAGGCAACTTCATATATATTCAATATATAACAATATCTCTCCCCCAATATTTTGTGGGTATGATACCTGCTTTGTGCAAACACAGTGGAGGCATAAAACTCACCCCCCTTCTTTGCATGGATTGCTCCAGAACAGAATACTAAACTCTGTTTTGTGTCTGATCCTTCTCAAATGTTCCTTCATTTGTATTGTGTTCCATCCTTCTAAGCATCTGCTTCATTGTACTCAGTACTGTGGGAAAGCAAAATGCTATTTTAGTCTGTAGAAGATACTGTAGAAGATACTTAGGAGCAATTGTGTCAACAGCTCTGGCCATCTGTCTTCCATTGCTTGATCCAAGCTTCAACAATATCACTGACAAACAAGTCAGTGATTAACTCCAAATTCACCTTCAGACCAACAGTCAAGTAGGTAATACCCCAATCAAGAACCTGCAACAGAGCCATTGGTAAACAACCCAATAAAAGAATCCCTAGACCGCCCCACCCACCCAGACAGGCAAGACACCAGAATATAAACCAACAGCAAAGAGCACTCCTTACTAGCACTAGTGATGTTACTTATCCATGTTTCCATCCAACGGGTCTTATTTTATTTTATTTTTTTTGCCTCCAAAAGAGGCACTAGGTCTTATTTTCAGGGGGTGTCTTTTATACTCAACTCTGGCACCGACAGCCCTGCCCAGCCAGCCCACTTCTTCTGACTAAAGGAGCAGATTCATTTTACAGCTGCCTTCCGGCCTGCATTTTGCAGTCAGGCCTTTCTAGAAGGCCTATGCAGCTGAGTACCGAGCTATGGAGTCAATTCATAGCTCGGTTCTCAGCTGCAGTGGCCTTACGGAAAGGCCTGTGACTGAGAAATGCAGGCCTGGCTGCAGAAGACGCCACAAAAGAAGTGGGCTAGTGAGGAGACGCCTTGCTGCAAGGTGAGTGGGTGAAGGGCGCTTGGGGTAGCTTCACCCCTCACCCCCACCCTAGCTTGGTTTTTAGGTGCATGCCTTGCCCCAAAACTAGGGCTTATTTTTGGGGTAGGGCTTATATTAGACCACCCCCCCAAAATCAAGCTAGGGCTTATTTTTGGGGTAGGCCTTACTTTCGGGAAAACAGGGTAGTTAGGGTAATGAAACATCTGCAAGAAAACAAACAAGCTCAGAGAGCACCAAGGAACCCTCATTTGTAGCCAATGTCAATTTAAAGCTGACCAGTCAATGATCTGTCCATGACAATAGAGTTAGAGTGAATGACCACAAATAGAGCTATGCATCAAAACAAGATAGATTCTTGTCTGTTTGAAATTGCTTTAACACATCGTATAATAACACAAATACTTGATAAAATTCTTACTTTTCAATAATTCTAGCAACAGGCAAAGTTGACAGACAGGTAAGCTGGGACTTCTTTCTTCTAGAGCAGTGATGGCAAACCTTTTAGAGACCGAGTGCCCAAACTGCAACCCAAAACCCACTTATGCATCGTCGGGTGCCGGGTGGATGTGGCCCATTGGCTGGGTGTGGCCCATTGGCTGGATGTGGCCCATTGGCTGGGCGTGGCTGCAGTGGTAACGGCAGACTGGGTGGGACTAAAAAGTTCAATCAATCAATTCCAACTTTGCAAGATCTTTTTTTTCTCTGCAAGAAATTGAAATTGACTGATTGATTGAACCTTTTTTTTTTTTTTTTTGCACACGGCGGCAGAGGCCTAAAGCAAAAAGGTTTTATAAAACCCAGCTGAAGGCCTAGGACTGGAGCGACGGTGTGTGTGCCCACAGAGAGGGCTCTGAGTGCCGCCTCTGGCACCCGTGCCATAGGTTCGCCACCATTGTTCTAGAGTCCCCGGATTATTTTATATATTTCCCCTTCACTAGTCATCCTAGGAGGGAGAGAAAATATGCCAGCTATAGTACAGGATGTTGTTCCTCATGTGTCCAGGAAAAGGGTGCTTTAATTTTTTAAGGAAATGTGTCTTTACCTGAAATAAAATCACACTGAAGAATTTTTACAGCCAAATAGTCTACAGAAAAAGGGGGCTAGGGCTTCCTGCTTCCTGCATCATTTCTCACTCAGTAACTCAGCAGTCACATTGCTTTGAAAAAAATCATCAGAAAATGCTTTCCTGGAATAACCTGTCTATCTGTCCTCCATATTTAAATGATTCATATAAGGATTCACTAGTACATAGTCACAAGAACACAGAATTTCTTGAATTCTGATTCTCAGAAATTGCACTCAACAAATATCAGCAATTGTGTTTAAAGATAGGGTTTTAGTGCTACAGTATTTCAAAGAGATCACAGCAGGTCACTTATGGCATGTCACCTTCCAAAGAACAATCCATCACAAGCAAGATGCCCAACGCTCTCAAAAACAGCCAGTGACCTCTACCAGTGAATGATATGTGAATGATATGTGCATATCTCAGAAGAATTTAATTTGTATTTATTGGTGACCGGAAACCCCTTCTGGACTTTTTGGGGGAAAAATTAAAAAAATGAATTTATAATTTTTGTTTTTTGATGATTGGATTGGATAGCATATAGAAAGACGAAAGTCAGGATATAACTTTAGAGAGAGAAGCTAAAATATAACTGTAGCCATAACTTCTGTGAAGGTCAGAAGCCACTTCTTTATATATTTCTTTATATTCTTTTTTCTTGTACTTTTCTTCTACGTCTATTCTTTCCTCACTTTTAGCTCTTTTTCTTTCTCTTTCTTTTTTTAGTTGTACTTTAGTTTTTAATAGTCTAATTATTGTTAAAACTTTCAATAAAAATTTATGTGTATAGTATATATTTGTATGTGTATGTATAGTTATATGTATGTATTTAATTTGTGTCTGTCGTTATGATACATCATTATTGCTATATTCTACTCAAAAAGGTATATATTAAACATAAATAAGATTTTACATATTCCAGTCAGCCAGTCCACCATACTGAGCACCAGAAAATTAGTGTAAGATTTGATTTTCAGACTTTCTAACAGATCACAGGAAGAATAGATTCAATCTCACTTAACCCAGGGAGTTATTACATTTAAGATGTGGGGGGGACCTTACTTTCTTTGTATTTGTATGATATGGTCTTACCTAGAGAGGCAAGAGGTGCATGGTGAAAATTATCTCAGCCTACTCCTTGCTGCATTTTGATTTGAGTAGGATACTTTTACAGTAAAAGCTGAAAAGGAAGTTCTTTTAGAAAACCTGCAGGGTTAGGACACAAAATAATGTCCTTTTAGTTTGTAAAAGACAGATCTGATTAAATGTTAGGAAAACCTTATCCAAGTAAGAACACTTAAATGAAAGACGAACCAATTATTGATAAAAACGTTGAATTCCCTTTCACTGAACGTGTTCAAGCAAAGATTGGACAAACCTTAGGGGTGCTATAATTTGGATTTCTGCATTCAGGATTTATCCAAATGTCCCCTCTAATCATCAACTTTATGATTCTGCAGAAACATTGGTTGGTTTTCCTTTGAACACTCTTTTCATGTGTAAATTACAACTGCAAAGATTTTATTCAATGGAAGGGTTGCTGACTTACTCTTATACAGACATTTGGGGTTTAAATTAGTATTGTCTTCATGCAACTTTCTTCTATTCAGCTTTATTCTTTGGCTACTCTCTGTAGCCTCAGAGTATTGTTTTAATGTATTTAATAAATCTCAACTTTGTGTAAAATGCATTGATAGCATAACTGAAGAAACATAAAAATGACCTTTTAGACAAAGATTGTATTGTTACCATAGGGTCATACATAATTGTGACGCTGTCAAACGTCTACAAAAAGAGCAGGATGTCTAAACATGACTTACAAGGGTGTCATCCATCTTCCAATTTTAGCATCTGCTTTCATATGAAGTAGTGATGCTTCTGAGAAGTTCCAGAATTTTGAGAGAAGAGGTTCAAAGTAAAACATGTTTCTAGAGAGATGTGAAACTAAACATCACTTTTTGTTAGGAACGAAGCCTATTTTTGATCATATTTTTCATGAAATTTCATTATATTCCACTCCAGGGCATTTTACATGAAAACAAAATAATATGGGAGATGGCTTGGATTTTCTCCAAATTAAAAATGCAGCACAGCTGTTTTGAGCAATTATTTTTTATAATAGATTTTAAAACAATCCTAAATGGATTGTCAGTACTGCAGGCTTTTTGCCAATTTCATTTAAATATCTGCAGGAGTTTTTAAAGTAACCAGAAATCTGTCCAAAGGAAGCCAGAAATGTTTAAGAAAACATGTCTCAGAGGCTTGATTATAAATATTGCACACATTGTGGGAATACAATTTCAGAAGCAAAGAAGTGTGAATATAATTGGCAGATGAATCATATGTAAATGAATAGCGCTCTGGCACTTTTAGGAGCATTGTACAAATTTAATAGTATAATTGTATAGTGTAATTATATAAATTTAAGAATGATTCCAGATGGGAGAAAATGCATTAATATTTTTTTAAAAGAAAACCCTGATTTATTCACACATGGTATTTCCCACCCATGTTGCTCAGACTCAGTTATTGTAAATATGTCAGGTTCATATGGAAATGCTATATGGTTTTCCGTTATATATGTTGAGAGTTTCAGCCCACCCAAGAGAAATCATTTGTTTCTCTATGATCATTGACCACACAGTTCTGTGAAACAGGCAGCAATACAGAAAGCTAGAATATTCCATTGAAAGTTGATGTGTGTAATAAATACTTGAATCAGACATTCAAGTAGTTTCAAGCTGGTTTTATATCAGATTTACATGATTCAAAATAATACTCCCTTGATCCAGCACTGTCTGAATTTATAAACAATGTGTCATGTTGAGTCATTGTTTAAGAGGTATTTCTTTACCTAAAGAGAGGAACAGAATGACCAAGGGCAGGCAAAAAAGCCAAAGGATCAGGAAGGACTTCCATTTTTTCTGGCAGCTTCCCATTGAGTTTCCTTCTGGGAATCTGGCAGGAAGCATCAAAAACTCACCTTCCTTCCTTCTTCCTTTCTCTTCCCTTCTCAGCAGCAAATAAGTGGCTGTTTCTGGGTGGTGGAGGGAGAAAGAAATTGTGAAAAAAAGGAAAAAAATAGATCCAGAAACCTATCAGCCTGTCCTCAATACCTGGGAAGATTCTAGGAAAGATAATCAAGCAACGAATCAGCGAACACCTAGAGACAAACAAAGTCATAACCAAAAGCCAACATGGGTTTGTCAAAAACAGATCATGCCAGATAAATCTTATTGCATTCTTTGACCAGGTGACAAAATTAGTGGAACAGAGGAATGCTGTGGATATAATTTACTTGGACTTCAATAAGGCATTTGATAAAGTAGACTACAACCTACTACTTGATAAGATAGAAAAATGTGGGTTAGACAGCATCACCACCAGATGGATTCGTAGCTGGCTGAACCACCACATTCAATGTGTAGTCCTCAATGGAACTGCATCTACATGGAGGGAAGTGTGCAGTGGGGTACCCCAAGGTTCTGTTTTGGGCCCAGTACTTTTCAACATCTTCATCAATGATATGGATAAGGGGATAGATGGGGAACTCATCAAATTTGCAAATGATACCAAACTGGCAAGAACAGCCAACACTCCAGAAGATAGGCTTAAGATACAGACTTGACAGACTTGAACACTGGGCACTATCTAACAAAATGAAATTCAGTGGTGAACACTGGAAGTTTTTAAGAAGAGATTGGACAACTATTTGTCTGAAATGGTATAGGGTTTCCTGCAGTGAATTGGACTAGAAGACCTCCAAGATCCCTTCCAACTCTGTTATCTTGCCCTGCCCTGCCCTGCCCTGCCCTGTTCTAAAATGACTATGAAACATTGAAAATGAAGATCACAAGACCACAGCAGCAGTACAGCAGCACAATATTAGCCAGTAGCATTGGAGAAGTCACAATTTCCCCAAATTTCATTCCTTTGGGTGTCATTGGTCCTGGATTTTGGATTCATTCTGTACGTTAGCCCATTTGAGGTAACTTGGTTCAAAAATTGTTGCACTGTGATGCAGCATTTCACCCACTTAAAAGTCATGACATTGACAGTTTTATTGGTATATGGATAAATATACAGCATCATGCTTGCTGTTTGGAATAGCATTGCCTCTGTATTCCTTATGGCCCTGATTCTGTGGTATTTCAGGGAGACCTTTGGAAGCTGGTTTTTCCTGCAGCTACTAGGCCAGAGTGATTGACCCCAGGGAATATTATGCAAGTTAATTTTTATCTTCCCCTGGCACAGTTCTTTTATTGCATTAGTTCTGATTAGTCATAATCAAGGACAGTTTTAACTATCCTTGTAAGCTGCCTAGTTGTTTGGCAATTGGGCAGCCCTAATAGTTGAATGAATGAATGAATGAAATTTATAACAAAAGGCTATATTTGCCATTTTTACAGGCAAGGCCTTCTTAAGGCAACATCATAAACAATTACTGGCTGTAATGGAGTTCTGTGGAAAAAAACTGGAATAAAAAACAAATATAAGATCATATTTAAATTTTCCAGCCCCTAAATATTGAAGTCCAGTTGCAACAGCTAAAATGTATCAGAAGTCCCAATAATTGTTTCTTGTAAAAAGTTTAAAAATGAAGACAACAACAAGAGGAGCCAGCAGAAAACTGTTGGAAATAAGGTTCTGTATCAGTGACATGTTACAAGAAGCTAACAAAATAATTTATGCTTCTGGTGAAATTGTGAACAATCTTGCATATGTTCATTAACACCAATAAAAAGAGAACCAAAAATGTTCTCTTCCTTTTTGTTTTAACTGAAGTAGTGCACATACAGTTTTTATTTTATTTCTTTTATTTATCACTCTAATTTATAGTTATGAAATCCATCAAATAGTTAAGATGGTTTACAGACTTTTGTTCTGTCATTATAAGAGAGAGGCTGGCAGAACGTAGAGGCAGAGTTAAAAGAGGGATCAGCCTGGAACCTCTACACAGCCACAAATGATCTAAGTCCAATCTCCCGTGAATTCCAATGCATTTTATCTAACTAAGCTCACTATTATTTGAGAACATGTAGACATGATTAGCAATAAATCAATTTAATTGGATCTTCATATGTGGACCTGATCTTTCACAACTGGCAGTCATTGGGGAAGGCATATAGCTGAAAGGTAGTGTAGCAATTAAATGGACTAGGAACAACATTTGAGGTTCATGAATGAAAAACCTCCCTTTGAGCTGCGACTACAGTAGTTTTTGACTTATTACCATAATTGAGCCCGAAAATGCAGTCCTATGTTTTTGTGGTCATTAAGCAGGTCACCATAATACCCAATTTTGCAACCTTTTTTTTTGCACATTTTGATTGTCTTTCTGCACATGATAATCTATGTAGTTGCCGTGATGAGTCAAAGGAGATGGAATTCCATCAGCATCCTAGGACTTGTCCCCCAGCCAAAAGGCCTATAAGTGCAAGTCTCTATGTTTACCTAATGGCCAGTAGCCAAGCAGCTGAGTTTAACAAGCAACAGGCCACCTTTCTAGGCTGGGGTGGAATGAAAAGAATAGCAGGAACATTATTTTGCATCCATAAGTTGCTCATTTTTGTGACTACAGGTAGTCCTTGGCTTACGATCATTCATTTAATGATTGCTTGTTATAATGGCACTGAAAAAAAGTGACTTACAATTAGTCCTCTCCCTTATGACTGTCATGGTGTCCCTGTAGTCACATGATCAAAATTTGGACACTTGGCAACCATGACAAATTTACAACAGAGTCATGTGATTTCCATTTGCAACTTTTCCAGCCACCTTCTGACAAGCAAAATCAATGGGGGAAGCCAGATTGGTTTAACATCTGTGTGATTTGCTTAATGACCATGGCAAAAAGTTTGTAAAATCAGATATAACTCACTTAAAGACTGCATTGCCTAGTTATGGTAGTTCCAGTCTCAATTGTAATCTATATTTTCCTAAATAAAAGTCCTTTTTTTCTACACTATGTGATAAGTCACTGAATGAACTATCATTCATTTGAGTCTGAGGCTGTTCCTTTCTCATTTGGCTTTTCAACCGCTTTTTCCTTTTTTATTATTTCTCTGAGATGATAAATTTTAGGCAAAGATCTCCTCCTCCTCCTCCTTCCCCTTTTCTTTCCTCCTCCTCTTCCTTCTTCTTCTTCTCAGATCATAGAACTGATTTCCTTCTCACTTGATTTTGAGATAACATATGAACATTAAATAACTCTCCTAGAATCTTGTTCTTACAATATTTCCCCTTAAACATACTAATAGTAATTAGTCAGTTGGATAGACAGACTGCTGTCTGCACAGTACGGCTCAGAGATGTAAAATAAGGACTACATCTACATCTACAAATATTATCCTTTATTCTCCTTTAAAGGACTACATAATTGGAAACTGAACTGCAATAGAAATAGGCAATGGCGGCATACAAATTAAGTACAGTGTATGAACAATAGATAAGCAGACAATTCATTACAAAGAGTTAGAATCCCTTTATTATCTATATACTGTAGGTTTCCTATCACGTACAAGCTGTTCACCTTTCTGATTATAAATGTTATTTATATATTTACAAAACTAGCAATAATAAATGTCTTAATGTCTTTCATATATAAGGATGGAAGTATAAATAACACAGGAGAGTTTTATTATTCAGTCTGGCATTCCAGTAAACCTATTATGATATTATTGTGGATGCTTATAGTTGTGTAATCTGCTACTGCATTATGCAAGTTGATTTTAACTCTTGTATAGGCTGATATTAATTTTAACAAGAACTAAGCATTGCTGTACATTTTTAAGAATGATCCAGAAGTTCTTGAGACTTCACACAAGCACAACATCTCTCTGTTTTTCATTAAGGTGGCCCAACATTTTCAGTCTTCTGTATGAACTTGAAAACAAGATAGTGTTGCTTTAAAACTCATATTAACATTAATGATGACTTTTTAAAGAAATAGCTTCTTTTTTCCAAGCTTGCACAGAAATCTAAATAAAAGATGTCTGTTCTTCCAAACTAGTTTCAAGGGGCCCTAATTATTATCTATTTCCCATGTTGGCTGATAGATTGAAATGTAGGATATATATTTTGGTTAATTAAATGAGTAGTAGGAAAACTAAAGCTCTATGATATGAGGGCAATTCAGAAATAAACCTCCATTTGGTTTTCAATGACAGACACTCGCAGATACAGAACTTTTATCATATACATTAGAAAACTACAACATTACATTACTTTTTGACATAATTGCCATTCAAACTGAGGCACTTGTCATAATGTCTTACAAGGTTTGAAATTCCTTAGTAGTAGTCGCTTGGTGCCAAATCTGGGCTATGGGGGTGGGTGATCAAAAACATCCCAACGGAACTGCTTCAAAAGTTCTTGGGTGCTTCTAGCCATGTGTGAGCGAGGTCCCTTCCAACTTTACTGTTATTATTATTGTAAACCAACACCACACCAGAAGTCAGCATGCCCCGACGCTTGTTAAGGATGGGGCTCGTCTGAGCTTTCGTAACATTTCACAGTAGACTTCTGAATTGATGGTCAAACCAAGCTCCATGAACTTCTCTAAGAGTATTCCTTTTGCATCTTCACATTTGGTAGGATTTTCTATGGCACCACTTCTGGTGTTTGTGGTATAATAAAATTCTGTATCTGCGAGTGTCTGTCATTGATAACCAAATAGAGATTTATTTCTGAATTTCCCTTGTATAACACAATGTCTAAAGATCTCTGGCATCTTCACCTAAGACTGGAAAATTTCCTGCCTAAAATTCCATACATAAACTACCAGTTCATTTTGGCAGCATTGGTTCAATAAATAGTAGCTTCCTATATTTCTATAAACTGTAATAATCTTGGCTTAGGTCTTCAAAATTTTAGTTGCCTTTATAGTGGTTTACATGAAGGCAAAAATAGGGAACAACTGCTTTAAATCATGTTCATGTGGATGTTATTTTGGGTGCTCTAAAGCACCATTTAATTTAGAGTTGTAACTTCCAGTGAGGGATAGAGATCAGATTTAAGGTCATACACTTCAAACAT